CCGCAACACCGCATCCCCCGCAGGTACAACACGCGCGTCGTCGACTGACGGGCGCCTCACCCCCGCCTGATTTATCTTCTCGGGGAGAGACGCCCCATCGGCGTCTCATCGGGCGCATCCCAAGCCACCGCGGCTGCCCCTCGCCCCGCCCTGCTCCGCCGTGTCGGGGCCTCCCATTGGCGCCATCCATGCCGATCCTTGTGCGCAGCCGCCGCCGCTCACGCATTCACTTTCCCCCTCCCCCTCCAGCGACCGGCCGGCCGCCCGGCCATCGCGGCAGCCTTCGAGTCAATCGACGGTCATCCTTCGTCCCACCCTTCTTTTTCGCGCGGCCCGTCGCCTGGTTTCAGCGCAGCAGCGATGCTTTGGAAGTTACCTCCTGCTAATTGTAAGGAATTCACACGATCGGAACATACTGCCTTCCCGTGCGGCGCTTGCGGCCGCATTGCTGGGTCACGTGGGCAGGGGCCGCCGCCGCCGCCGACGCGGCTCGGGGCCTTGCCGCGAGGAGGGCCGCCCGGGGCGTGGCGGCGGCAGCCCCTACCCTGGCGCTGCGATTGGTTGTCGCGGGGCGGTTGGGGATGCGAGCGCGGTGCACGGCCTCGCGTCTGAATCGGCCCGCCGTTGGATTTGCGTAAAACAAAGGTAATGAATCCCGATCAAACGGTTGGAGGTGCCCAGATGCGATGTGGTGGTGTTTCAACATGGGAGAGGGGGCTGTCGGCGTGGATTTGGGGCGGGGGTGAGTGGGCTCGGGGCGTCGGCGCAGCAGCCCGCGCGGCCGGCGACCCAAGCTGGTGGTGCGGGCGCGGCTGCCGCCGCTGGTTGCCGACGGCCTTCCGGAAAAGTGGCGGGGGTGCACGGCTCTCAACAGGCGGCGTCCCGAAGACACGCACATTCAACGGCCCAAACATTCCTCCGGGACCAGGGCCGCTTGAAGCGTGACGACCCCCTCGAGCTGCCCAGAGCCCCGACAGATCTGAGTTCAACTTGGGGCCGACGGCGGCCGCCGAGGTTGCCGCCGCGGGCCGAGGCCCGTGATCGCAGATCATCTGCAGAGCCCCGTGATCTTGGTCCCCGCCGCCGCCGCCTTCGCATCCGTCGTTTTCTGCCCTGCCGGCCCCTGGAAAAAGCCTTTGTTCGACGGCCCCTTGCCGCCGAACGACGCGGGCAGGCAGCCGGTGAGACCGGCGTTGCCGAAAACGGTGAGCGTCTCGAGGGATGACATGTACGGCTTGCTGGGGGCGGCCCACTCCTTCGGGACCGGGCCTGCGGGCATGCGGAGGGGGGGGAGACGTTGGCAGGGATCAGAGGCTGCGATGCCGCCGCGCGGGTCGCGGGGCGCGGCGCCGGGGCCGCTATCGCGCTGGTTTCGATGCGTGCGCAAAGGCAGCAAAAGTCTGGCCAACGCGGGCAGAGCAGCAGACACACGCTCCGCACTTAAGCAGCGGCTTCTGAGCCGGCGCAACCCGAGCCTTGAACGAGCGACCCACAAGCACTGCCCAACGGCCATCGAACCGAACGCTTTCTGCACACAACGGCACGACCTGAGTCGAAACTGCCTCAGAACAGTAAGAAACTGCCCGGTACCTATACATGCTGCCGCATGCTAATCGAATTTGCACGGTACGCCGCCCCGCGCTCACCTGTCAGCTTATTTGAGTTTATTTTCAGGACCTTGAGGTTTTGGAGGGCGCCCCATTCCGCGGGAAGCTTCCCCTCCAGGTTGTTGAACGCCAGGGAGCTGGGGGGACGCGAGGTGGATGGTGTCAGGGTGTCAGTGTGGGCGTGCGCGAGTGTGTGGTTGTGTGAGAGTGTGTGTCTGTGTGTGTGTTGGCGTGTGTGTGTGTGTGTGTGTGTGTGTGTGTGTGTGTGTGTGTGTGTGTGTGTGTGAGAGAGAGAGAGAGAGAGAGAGAGAGGGTGTTGATGCGTGCACGTGTGCATATGCGTTTGTGAGGAAAGCAAGGGTAGCAAAGGGGGTGTGCGTATCAAGGGTGTTGGGGACGCCATGACAAGTCATGATCTTGGGGGCCGTGACACCAGAGGCCCTCGCCAGATTTGAGCTCAACAGCGGCCAAACAAGTTCAGGGTACCACCAACATGTGCCCCGTCATCCTTTGCAGTAAAGAAAGGCAGTCGGGGCCCGCTCACATTTCCCTGAGGCTCTTGGCCTTTGACCAGTCAGCAGGCAGCGATCCAGACAGCTGGTTGTCGTTCAAATAGCTGGGGGTGGTTTTTTTTGTGGGAGTGGGAGGTTGGGGGTCGGGGGGTTCAAGGGGGGATCGAGGTGGGTGGGGAGACGCAAGCATGGAAGTTGAGTAGGGGCCAATTATTTTTTTTTGGGGGGGGGGTGTTGCATCAGAGACGGGGAGACATGGGGCTGTTGAGTATATCGCAGGGAGGAGGGGAGGGCGGTAGAGAGTGGTCTGGGGGTCAACTTGTGGCTTTCAGAGAGTGCCCGGGCGCAGGCAGCGGGGCGACGCGCCGGCGACGCGCTGCAGGCGCACGTGCGCCCGCCCGCGACATCGATCGCAACGGGCGCCTGCCGCGGCCCTCGCGCGGGGCGCTCACAGCTCCTGGAGGCTCGCCGACGCGCCGTAGCCCGCGGGCAGGGTGCCCTTGAGCGCGTTGCCGCCCAGCAGCAGGCCCTGCGGCGGCGCGGCGGTCGCGGTGCGTGGCGGGAATGGAGGCGCATGTGCATGCTGGTTCAGGCATGCATGTTGCCTGTGTGACAACCCATGGGCAGGCATGCCAGGCCTGGCCAGAGCCAAGGGACTCAGCCCGCACATCGATGCCCACTTGGGGGCACGCTTTGGTGGTGGCTGATCGGCAACGGCGCAGCGGCGGTTCTAGAAGTCGAATGGTCGCGTGCTGCATGTGTATGACGCGGCACCAGCTGTGTCTTCTTGGCGCACCTTGAGCCCGGGCAGGTTAGTTATGGCCGTGGCGGGGGGGAGGGTGCCATCCAAAGCCAGGTAGGATATTGTCAACCTTGAAGGACGAAGGGGGGAGGATGAGGACAGGGGCGGTGGGGGCGTGGCTTGGGACAGGGTATATCAAACGGCTCGAGGTTACAATGGTTCACGGATGCACGAACACACACACACACACACACAAACACACACACACACACGCGCGCGCACGCACGCAAACACACACACACACACCTGACAACGTTGCCCGCCTCATCGCACACGACGTTTATCCACTTGCAGTAGGGTGCGACCGCGGGGTTCCAGTCCGCGAGAACCTGACCCTTGGGGTCCAGGGAAGCTTTCACAGCCAGCAGGGCTGGCGGGGGCACAAGAGGTGTCCCAAGGGGACGGAGGGCGCAGAGGGCGTGCGATCGGAGGAGTGCCGCACTCGGCGGACGGGACGGCGGGGACGGCGGGGGTTGCGCGGGGCGCCAGGCTGCGCGGGGCGAAGCGGAAGAGCGGCCTAGAGCCAGCTGGCGGCTGGTCTGGGCGCCCTGTGGCCGAAGGATCTGTGGTGGTCGTGTGCTTTTAATGAAGAAACGCGTGCGCATGGTTTCGGGTGTGCATGAACGAGGGTATGTTGACAACGCAAGCATCGCCACACCTGCTTCTTGGACCTTTGCGGGCTTGATGAGAGTGTTGCCAGCCAGGACGGGCTTTTCGGGTAACGGCGCCGGCACCAGCACTGGCGGCGCGGGCGCCGGCGACGGCGCGGGCGCCGGCGAAGGCGCCGGCGCGGGTCCGGGTGCCGGCGCCGGGGCGGGCTTGGCCGCGGGCACGGGCGGGAGCGCGGGCGGGAGCGC